CTCAAATTCCTTTTTTACTATGTTTGGCCTACCTTTTCCACTGCAGATTATTCTTGATTGAGAAAACAAAAGCAAAATCGGAACTGAATAACTCTGTTTTCTCTTTGCTAACATTACAACCATTTATCCTGGGCTGATGTTGTACATCTCATAACAGGTGGTCTTTTTAAAAGAAACAAAATATTTTAAACCTTTTCTTATATAATATATACATGTTACTTGCATATGTTTATGATACACACGTACATATCATGGAAAACAAAATTAAAATTTGTTCTTTTTCCAAATATATGAAATAGAACATATGGAAATATTAAGGTCTGGGATCTAGTCTCAGCTCTCTCACTAATTAGCTGCATGACCTTGGTAAAGTCACTTATATCTTGGGACTTCAGTTCCTAAATTTGTTAAGTGAGGAGATAGCTAAGATCTGTAAGGTCTTTTCCAATTCTACAATTCTATGGCAACTATTTTATATACACACACAAAAAGAGTCCTGGACTTGAGTAGCAGTAATTTTATAATTGTCATTAGACTACAAATACTTCTGATATTCATGGCATAGTGGATAGGGATCTGATCTCCCAAACAGGAAGACCTTACTTCAAAGTCCTACCTTTGACATGAACTGGCTGATCCTGTTCAACTTATCAGTGTTCTAGACAACTCTGTAAGACTATCAGTTGCAGAGATGGCACCAACTTGTATTGGTAGAGGGAGATTCTTCATCTACAAAATCCCTACATCAAAGAAATTATGGGTCTAGTACCAGTCTCTATCCCCTTTCTGGTAACATGTATGTTTTCTTAAATTCAGGTTTAGAGTACATAACTGATTCAGTCACCAGGAGTGTTTTGTGCCTCCTTATGACTGCTTTACCATTGTTATATTTCTTCTACCTTTATATTAAATTAATTTTTAAAAAAGACCCAATCTTAATCTTGGGCTACACATATGATATGTAAAACTGAGAAAATAAAAAATCCAACTGGACTCTTCATTCTAGACAGTAAACATTTAGTGTATTTAAGTGCATGTTCAAGAAATTGTGCATAAAAATAATCTTGGGAAGCAGAATGGTATAGCATAAAATATCTTGCATATCAACTCAGAGAACTAACCAGTCTTCAAATTCTGGCTTGGCTACTAATTAACCTATTTGGTAGTATATATGTATGAATATATGTATGTGCATATGTGTGCATCTGTGTATGTGTATATACATACAGATGTATATACCAATGTGAATGTATGTGTATATGTGTACTGATACGTAGTTTATGTGTTCATGTAGCATGAATATCACACTCATTACTATAAATAATATATATATATCATATATATTCAGATATCAGATATATGATCATTACTACAAATCCTAAATACTATTTATATGAATGTACGGCTTCTATGCTATAAAGTTGGTAACACCATTACTGATATCTTTAAATGATAACTCAATATCATTTTGTATGTTTTAAAATTGAGTGCTATTCAACTATTATGAGAAACAAATTAACTTTGCCATAGAATATGTAAAATATAGATATAACTATTTACCACTAATTTGTCTTTTTGATTTTCAAAATCAAAAATTTTTAGGGAAATTTAGATGTTGATAATTGGTTGTATTCAGAAACTTTTTTTCTCAAGTAGAATCAGAAAAATTATTCATTGTTGAAATAAGAAATATGGTCTTAGTAAGGGATTATGCTGAAAAATAATTCTAAAACAATTTTGAAACTATATTTAAACTTAGTTAATGGCATGGCAGCATATTCTATTTTCCCAGGTCTGGCTCCCTGGTAACACATGTAGAGTTGGGTTGCCTGTTTATTTTGAGTATCAAACTTGTCTCTTGTTGCCAAGGGCAAATCACAAACTCTATGGACTTTAGCTTTGCCATATATATATGGAACCCATCCCAAATATTTGACCTGCATATCCTATCCTCAATGAAAAAATGGCAGAGCACAGAAAGCTTTAGTCATCTTTACAATATGTTTTTAACAGAAAACAGTGAATTTGTGAATATAAAACAAAAATTGTAGGTACAGACAGTGGATGGTTGGGGAGAAAATGTGGATAAGAGAGTGGGGAAGGGTCCAAGGAATAGATTGTTGAGTAAAGAGAATTACTCTTCCACTAAATTTTTGCATTCTCATATACTATATTTCTCCAGCATTGGTATGTATAAGGTTAATGAGTGCTAAATCATACACAGTAGTTGTTAAGTGACCCTTAGTGGCATTTTAAATGAGATTAAGGGGTCATAAAAATATTTATCTATCCAATTTTAATATCTCACATATTCTAAAATCTCTAAAATCTACAGATTTACAGAAATCAATAAATCCTTTTGGAACCTGAGGGATTCTGTTACTGGCATAGCAAGTGGACCTCATCATAAGGCAGTGCTAGGGCATGAAGCCTGAAGACAGGATATTATGGTGCAGGATCTTACTATATTTACAGATTACTCCTAAAAGAGAAAATAGATGATTTACACATGATGTTAAAAATAGATAGTTGTATATTTTCACAGCTGTACTTTAGGTCTCAGTTACAGAATTTCATTTTAAAATGCCATAGTCATGCCAAATAATAAAAGTATTTTTATAAGAAATTGTCATTTAAATGAATAAAACATCAGTTTCTACATTTACTTAACTATAGGCAAAGCTAAGTAAGAACTCTACATGGAAATAAGCTAAAAATAATAAAAATGCTAAGATCTTTTATTTTACAGAAGCACAAAAAAGAATAGAAAAGGAACACATTCTTGAAAGTAATTTACAATAATTACATTTAAATGCTACAATTCCATAAAAGATAGTGTAGTATAGTAGAGAGACTTGAACTTAGAATCCAGAAGACATGGGTTTAAATCCCATTTTTGTTACTAGCCATCTGACCATAGGCAAATCACTTAAACACTCTGAACCTCAGTTTCCTTATCTGTACCAAGGTTGTTGCTGTGAGGCTCAAATGAAGTAGGTATATAAAACACTTTGCAAACTTTAAAGTCCCATAGAAATAGCAGTTATTATAATTACAAATTTTACATTATATTAAAAAATGTTATTTCCAGAACATTGGATGAGTAAACTGAGAAACATACAACTAATTACATAATATACCTCTATTTGCATTAACTGTACCTAGATATTAATGAGTTTTCTTGGCTTTGAATCACAAATTTAGTTATGGCAGTGAAGTACTTAAAAATAATATTTAAAAGGTATACAGGAAATGGGGTATAGAAATCTAAGCTGCCCTACAGGAAAATTGAAGGGGAAGGTGATAAGAGAAGGGAGGAAGATAGATAGAAGGGAGGGCAGATTAGGGGAAGGGGTATTCAGAATGCATGCCATCTTGGGGTGGGGGGGAGGGACAAGATGAGGAGAAAATTTGGAACTCAAAATCTTGTGGAATGTTGAATGTTGAAAACTAAAAATTAATTAATTAAAAAAAGAATTTTAATAATGATAAATTTCAAGTAAAACTTTTTAAAATGGAATTATTTTAACCCCTAACATAGCATATTTTAGCAAAAACAATCATAGTTGATCTATTCCTATATACTACATGTTTGTTTTTTAATATTTTGTGTTGTAGTTTGCTGGATTTGTTTAAGAAATACTTGTTTAAGTACTCTTTGCTACGTAGAGTCTACCTTCTAACTTATAAGAACTCTATGAAATGAATCTGAGAAACTCTAGGATTTGTTATCTTTCACCCAGACTGCAGGTCCAGAAGAGACAGTCTCACCACTTTAAAGATTACTTTCCTAAACTCAGATAGTTTCTGATTTGTGAGTGCTAAAATGTTTCAGGGGAATCCATGTGTAATCCAGTCCCCCAGGATACCAAGACAGCATCCCAGAAACAAGACGATTCTAATTTACCAAATCTCTAAAGCACCCAACACATTTCAGCAGTAGACCTTCAGCTGTAGAAATAGACCAGCATAACTCAACTCCTTCCAGTCAAATCATTCATAATCCAAGGAATATATAGAAATTCTACAGTGTATATGTAAGCAATCCCCAGCATCAGCCTACGTCCCAATGCACATGACCTCTTCGCACTATCATGGCTGCCACCTATACAGTCATCTCTATAGTTATTCTAATGAATTTTAAAATATCATATTTACACGTTTATTTGGCCAGTATATTTTTTAATATTTACCAAAGGAAACTTGTCTATTCCTGGGTTTTCTGGTCATTTACTATTTTTTTCAAATAATTTCAGGTAAATTTTAAAATTTGCTCCATCTATATGTAGGATTTGTTGAAATGAATTTGAAAGTCATAATTAGATGCCCTATATTTTTATTGTAATCATTATTTTATGGAATTTGTTTCCCTAAATCTATATATATGAAACATATATTTAGTTACACTGTTGATTTAGATGAATAGATCTTCTCATTAAAGCACTGACAAAAGTCTTCTTGTTTAAGTGATCCTTAATCAATAAAATAGTATCCTATATGTGAATAAATTTATGCACCTACATATACAGAACTCATATGTGTACTTTATGAGATCTTATATACTGAAATCAATACCTTAATAATTTTGAAGTAAATCAACAGCATGCAAATAAGAAAAATGAAAACAGTGAAATGCTAATCTTTAGTCACTTAAGAGTGAGTTACACAGAAACAAAAACCAGAAAATAGTGATCATTTCCTTCACCACCACTTGGCTTTGTGAAATTTGGGGAGAAAAGGAGAAGAAAAAAGACACACGATAAAATGGCTTTATCAAGGAAAACTAAAACATGAAATAAGAAAACATGACATTTGCAAAGTTTTTAGGGCAGCTTAGCATTTTATGTGCTTTCTTTCTCCTCAGGTTAAATAGAAAGGACAGAAGTGAAGCAGGAGAATCAGTTTTGTGCATATCTCCGAGAATAAAATTAGGCATATGGAAGAAACAACTAGGAAGTGGGGCAAATGCCCCGCCCCAGTCAGTAAGGAAGACCAAATACCTTTGTGCTTGTCCCGTTTATGCTTTAGTTGTGCTGGATGGGGTCTGAGTCTGGCTAGAGCCTGTTCTCGATGGTTCATAAAAATAGGACCAGGAAATACAAGGGGGCCTGAGGAGAAACATTGTGCATATACATGGAAAAGCTCACAAAATGGAAACACTGAATTGAACAAAAATAATTCAACTTAAAAGTATGAAAAATGACTCCTCTTCATTTATGGGACTGGAAAATTTATCTCCACCCCCTTTTTATCCCATTCCAACCCCCACCCTCACCAACAATTCCTTTGCTATTCCTAATCAGATTATGATTTAAAATTCATTCATATTAACTAAATTACATGCTTTGTAATTATTAAATTATGTGTGTATAATACAATAAAGTACTATTTCCAAATGAATTGGGCAGATGATTTACATTTAGGTATTTAAAACATTTTCCCAAATACTCATATATATGCAGTTACATACATGTAATTTAAATATAATAAAACATATTGCTTCGGATAAAATTTAATTTTGAAGTGAATTGTCAAAAGCTTATAAGTTCTTAGCTAAGTCCCTAAATTATAATAAAGTTTTCTAAAAATAAACACCCATTTGAATGTATCTTATGACCTTAGTTAAGGTGTAAAATTCATTCTTGGTGAAAATTCCATTTATATTCCTAAAAGCAAATTTCATTTACTCCCTTCTTTTGCAGAGAAGACAAGTTGATTATAACATTAGTGGTAATAGTAAAATTTTCTGCACTTATCAACATTGATGACACAATCATTGCTATATCAAGAATAGAAAGACATATCAACTGTCAAAAGATGCTATTAAGATTTATCTAAAAATATGCTCAACTTTATTAAAGAAAAGAATTTGTAAAATATGAATAAGATATCCCAACAGTCTTAGAGCAAAACTTTAGTAGCTTTAAAATGCACTAAGACTTCTGGGATACCATATACGAACACAACTAAAAGAAACAAATGAAGACAAAAAGGCATAATCATTTTGCTGGACACTTAAACCCATATGGTATTTTAAGTGCCACAATGGCCACAATATAGGCTGCCCTGAATGTAGGCTCCATACCTACAAAGAAGTTTCTTTGACAGTATAAAAAAATTCAGGATATAATGAAAAATAACAATTATTATCCAACAAGTAGCTATGGTACCCAGAGGATGACCAGGTGATCACTTTTCCCTCTCCCTTTCTTTCTTCTTCCCTACCTTCTTATCAAAATCAGATTTACACAGGTGAGATAGAGGGAGACGAGGTTGTTGTTTGTATACTTTCATTCTACTTGTATTTTTAATGGGCATGACAATATTTTGATAAAGCTATACAAAATACATTTAAAATATACAGGATGTCACAAAAGGCTTAGAGCAGTTTAGTTTAAAATACTCTGTGTATTTCAAATATATGGAAGTCTGCAAGCCCTATCGTGCTATACTAAAGGTTTAAATATCATGCTTTTAAAGATAAAAATACTTACTTCCCCCTAAAAATTAACAAAGCATGAACACATTCTCTCTCTCTCCCTCCGTCCCTCCCTCCCTCTTTTCCTCCCTCTCACTACAACACACACACACACAAATCAATTATTTCAGTGAATTACGGATCTCAATGACATATTCCCTTCCTCAGTACAAACCGCAATTCATGCACAGCCTTCTTCCCAAAGTACCCCCTCAACACACTCTGCTTCCACTAGGTCCTTCCATATTTTGTGAGTTCCAAGGGGAATACTCAGGTTGTCCATCTATTTTCTGTGGCTTCTGTCATGTGATTAGCCTGCCTTCTGTTTGGATCAAACACTTCCTCTATACTATCCCTTATATTATACCACTTCTTACATATAGGTTGCCACTGGAAACATGCTGCTGTGTACTCACCACATCTTTCTTCATTCCCCTTCAGGTTGCCTGAAACTTTAATTCTTTGAAGATAATAAAATTTGCAAACTTAAGGCACCACCCAGAGAAAATTTAGATGGATTTTTGTTTAAGTAGCAGTATGAGATTGTTAAAACATTGGACATTTTCACAAATGCAATCTTCTGTTCTATTTACTTCTGGGCATATGTCACAGTCTAAATGCAGGATAGATCTCAGTTATGTATGTATGTGTGTGTATGTATTTGTATACACATACATATACATATACACATATACGTACACATATATGAGTGTGGGTACACACACACACACACTCACAACCCCACACTCAAAGGAACAGCTATTCCTCTGTATGTCACAGTCTAGAAAAAAAGACAATTGTCAACAAGTATTCGACAAGCACTTATTAAGCAACTACTATATGCAAGGAATTCTGCTAGGGTCTAGGGAAATAAATATAAGTAATGAAATAAGCTCTACTCAGAAGGAGCTAATACATATAAATCAGTTTTCCTATATGGACTGTGAAGCTGATTTCTCAATTAACTATATATGTCATTAAGGCTCTGGAATATTCTGGGGCTTAATGCAATCAACACAATATCACCATAAATAAAAGTAATTGTAGGATCTTATCATCTATAGGCAAAACATCTATTTGGATCCAGTATAGGTTGTAGGCCATGAGAGTGGCAAACAGGATACATTTATCTTTTCAATGCTCTAATTGATATTAATAACAGGAAGTTTTTGTATCTATATGACTATTTATTCTGTCCAATTAGGGACACTGCAAACACACACAAACATATGAAAAGGACAAGATGATGCTCTGTTACAATTGCTATGATGATCTAATAAAATCATAAATTAGTTACAACAAGTATTATTTTCCAGATAAAGTATATGTTACCAAGTTATAAAGGTCTTAAAACAGTTAGTTGATTTTTAGCAAAACCAAAACCAAAAACCATTTATGTCATATATTTTAACTAATAAAACAGAATATAAATTAATTTTTGGAAGGTATAAATAATTTTACAAATAAATGGCAGAATTATTATTACTATTATGATAAGATCACTTTTTACTAACATTTTAAATTCAATGCAGTTTTTAAGGGCATTAGTTTTTCTGCTGTAGAATGAAGAACATGTGATCTTTAGATAGTTTATTTCTAAAATCTAAGCCAAGTTCTATCTTCTTATTGGTAGGAGCAAACCCATAACATTTCTTTGATGAAACTTTTAATCTGAAAGCACCACAAGCTAGTTAGAGAGTCTGTAGAGAATAACATTAAGACCACAGGACTTAGAAGTCAGGAGAACTTTGGGGAAAAATTCTACCACTGAAACTGGCCATGTGACTACAGACAAGTCATGTAACCTCTCTGAGTTTCAGTTTCATCTTCTACAAAATGGGGATAATAATACTTACAGAAGATATCTATAGGGCTGTTGTGAAGGTCAAATGAAACAGATAATGCTATTACTACTTATAGTAGAAATAATAATAATAATAGCATACATTTACCACTATTCAAATCCCATTTAAAAATATAATTATGTAAAATATGGTCAATGGTTCCAGCCCAATAGAAATATGCAATGCACATTCAAATAATGCAAATACTTCACAGGATTCATTATTCACACTAATTGAAAACTATGGATAGTACTTCAAAGTGCTTTATATACATTATCTCATTTGATCCAGACAACAATCCTATGGAGGTAATGCACAGGTTTCAATTATGTAAAGTGCTATATAAGTGTCATCTGATTTTATCATTACCAGAAACGAGTTGCTCAAAGCAAAAACTTAAATTCATTAAGACTGCAGACCTGTATCTCCTCTTCTAAAGGACCAAATTCAACCATCTTGGTCAAATGAGATCTCTCCTTCACCAATACATTAGTCAAACTCAATTGTTTCAGTTCTGGCCAGAAACCCTAAGGGTCTTTCCCTCCCAGATTGATTTTTTTTTTTTTGGACTAGGAAAAGGGACCGTTCTTTGCCTCATTTCTTACCTACTCTTAATCACTGAATGGGCATTGCCTCAGTCAAACTGAGACCTGGGAAAGACCTTAACTTAAAAAGGCCAAGGTCTCCCACTGCATCTAGGGGTGAGGGTAGTATCTCCAATTGTCCTGATCTATATCTTGCTACTGGATCCAGATGGCCTCAGAGGAGAAAGTGAGGCTGGTGACTTTGCACAGCCCTCCCTCACTTAAATCCCGTTCACTTGCAAGTCATGGCATCACCTTCCTGATGTCATGGCCTTCTTCAAGAACGAAGGATAAAAAGAACAAGTCAAATCCAAACAACCTCTTCTCTCAAAACTCCAGCATCAACCCAAATAAAGTTTATCAGCTCATGAAATTCTTATTTTACTGAGGATACTGAGGCCATCTCTCTTGACGTTCTTTTCTTCCCATATTCTATGCCCCCAAACTCTGTCTTTAAACACCCTCTCCTCCTTTGTTCTAGTCTCAGAGGATGAGATGGTCCTCCTTATCAAGGCTAACCTTTCTACTCATGGATTCTATCCATTCCACTCCCATTCCTCCAGGAGCATAAGCTCCTGACTGATCAATGGCTCATAGATTTTAAAGTTGGAAGGGATCTTAGAGGTCATAAAGGCCAACTTCCTCATTTTACAGATAAGGAAACTGACTTACCCAGAGGCACATAGATACAAGGCCACCTTCAACTCCTCAAGGTCCTTAACCATCCTGGTTACCCTTCTCTACCATTTGTCAATATTCTTAAAATGTCCTTAAAATCTAAAACTAAATGTAACACTACATATGTGCTATGACTAGGATGGAATACATTATCCTTTCAAATTCTGGATATTACTTGTCAATGTAGCCTAAATTCAGTAACAATGATTTTCAGATAATGGATTCCAATAAAAATGTTTTGATCAAATAATAAAATAGCTATTTCAGAGGGCCATGTTTGACCTAGCAACTTTTCTAAATAAAATACTTAAACAGAAACAAAGTAATCACTAAATATATTGATATAAATTGGAAAAATACCAAGTTAGTTTGTGGAAAAATATCTTTTAACAAACATTTTCATGACATTTTGAAAATAAAAAATAACATTTAAATTCAGTATGTATTAGTTTAGATTTTTGAGGAAAATTCATTATTTACAAGTCTAAAAATGAACTATCTGTATCATGGATCATTTAAAGTAT